GTTCCCTCCCGAAACTCCCCTCGAAGGAGTGTTCCTCAGTGCAGCAATGGGAAATGGCTAAGTTATTGTTAGGCTTTGGTATATGTTACAGGCAGGAGATTTGGAGTTGAATGATTGTTTATGATCAGGGAATACCAAGTACTGAACAAAAGGGTCTCTTTGATGGCTTACTTGGTGGATTTTGAGAGGCGAGAATATACTCACTAGAGCCTCTGTTGTTTATGTAGTTCTGTAGTGTATACTTCTTGGTTGGCTGCTGGCTATTGTGCATCAGTATCAGTAAAATATGAGTGATAGTCAGACTGAGGCTTGGGAGCCACAAGTGTCTCTTTAATGTGTCTTCTGCAGCACATGATATTAAAACACTGTGTGATTTAAGTATGTCAGTCTAAGTTATTAACCAATCAGGATGATTTTACTATGTTATTAACCAATTGTAGTTGATAAAATAATACTTCATCAGTCATTTTGCTGTGAGAATAATATATAGCCAATGAATTCACACTACTCTAGCTCTTTTGGTTAATGTTGATTGTTAATTTGGCTTCTGAACCATTAAGGTCTGAGTATCATTGCTCTAAAGCAGTGGTTCTCAAAGCCAGTCTGCCGCTTGTTCAGGGAAAGCCCCAGGCAGTCCAGGCCGGTTTGTTTATCTGCCGCGTCTGCAGGTTTGGCCGATTGCGGCTCCCACTGGCCGTGGTTCGCCGCTCCAGGCCAATGGGGGCTGCAGGAAGCGGCGCGGGCCAAGAGAGATGCTGGCCGCCCTTCCCGCAGCCCCCATTGGCCTGGAGCGGTGAACCGCGGCCAGTGGGAGCTGCGATCGGCCAAACCTGCAGACGGGGCAGGTAAACAAACCGGCCCGGACCGCCAGGGGCTTTCCCTGAACAAGTGGTGGACCGGCTTTGAGAAGCACTGCTCTAAAGGATCTCTTTAATGCACCTTCAAAGGGTATTTCTCTTGGGTGGATAGTGTCTCCAAATCCTCTCTCTCCTGGATAGTTCTTTACCCTGAATTGTATCTGTCATTGGTGACTGTTTTTTTCCCAAATTGTATCTTTCCTATGTGACTCTTTTGCTCTAAACTATATTTCTTCCATGTAACTGTGTTTCTCCAAATTGTCTCTCCTGAGTGGCTACTGGCTATTTATCAATATTTGATCTCTCTCTAAAGTGTATTTCTGTTAGGTGGCAGTTTATTACTGAAGGGTATCTCTGCAGGGTGGGTATTGGTTCTTGTATTTCTCTCTCTGTCTCCATATAAAGTCTCTCTCATGGGTGGCTACTGGCTGTGTGAAGTACTTGATGGTACTTGATCTTGTTTAATTGAAGTATCTGCAATCGTTACCATGGCAAACACCAATGAGAAAGTTTATATATTAGAATCCAGTACAGCCAATGTGAAAGCATAGGAAAGGACTTGTAACTGTGCCAGACATATATGAGCATGTGAGGGGAAATCCCTTAGCATTTCCTTCAAATGTAAATATTAGAAATGTGGTTTTCTTAGATTTTTCTGTGTAAAGAAAATGCATCTCATGCAAATAACAATAAAATTGATACTAAGCAGTAGATCCCTAGTATTCTATTTTGTTATCACAGTAGTCAGCATAAAAGATCTTGGACCAAATTCATCCTTGATCCAGTTCCATTGGTTTCAGTGGTATTGGACCAGCAGTGAATCTGGCCCATTAGCATTAGACTCTTGGCCTGATTCTGATCCTCTTAAGATTAGTGGGAGTTATGTCACTGACTTTAATAGGAGTAGAATCAAGTTCAGTTAGAGAAAGAGACTGCACTGGTAAAAAGGGATGAGAGTTCTTTTGGTTTGGGGGGAGTATTGTTTTCATTTTTGAAGGTGCGGGGTCGGGTGGGAGATTAGGGCCACATATTAATTTAATTCACACTGGAACGCATGCTAATGTCAATGAGTTTTGCACACAGATTGAGGATGGAATGTCACCTCTGGCAGTGTAAAACCCAGTAGCAGCGGTGGGTCAACTCTCTCTCTCAACTCTATCCTCAGTCTTTTGGGCAGAAGCTTAAGCACTGAGAGTTAGAGAGAGGAAAGCACAGTGCTGTAAGGCTGCTTATTGTGGTACCCAATTTAGAATGATAAAACATATGAATAGCAGGGGAGAAAGAGCAATCACGATCTGTACAATTTTTGGACCATTTCATATACATATTTTACATACTCTTAATAAATACACACCAATTAACTGGCAGCACCTCCGCCTATCCCTTATTCATTGTTCATTAGTGAATGTTCTTACTTTCAGAGAAAGTATGATGTTCAGGGGTTCTAATCTGCTATACACTGAATTTGCACAAGTATTTCCTTTCCTGATTTTTCTCAACATCTAGCTATAGACATGTAGTATTTCCAGCCACAAGTGTTCAAAAATCATGAATCATGCCAAAAAAGAAATTGAAGAGTAAGTACATTGGAAGCAAGAAGCCTGCCAAACAATCCACCACTGGATGATTGAGGTGCTAAAGGAGCACTAAAGGAAGACAAGGCTGTTGCAGAAAAACTAAATTAATTCTTTGCATCGGTCTTCACTGCAGAGGATGTGAGGGAGGTTTCCACACTTCAGCCATTCTTTTTAGGTGACATCTGATGAACTGTCCCAGATTGAGGTGTGAGTAAAGGAGGTTTTGGAACAAATTGATAAATTAAACAGTAATAAGTCACCAGGACTAAATCTGAAGGAACTCAGATACGAAATTACAGAACTGCAAACTATGGTGTGTTACCTATCACTTAAATCATCCTCTGTACCAGATGACTGGAGGATAGCTATTTTAACGCCTATTTTTAAAAAAGGATCCAGAGGTGATCCTGGCAATTACAGGCCATTAAACCGTAACTCCAGTACCAGGCAAATTGGTTGAAACTATAGTTAAGAACAGAATGAATAGAAACACAAATGATCACAATATCTTGGGGAAGAGTCAACACTGCTTTTGTAAAGGGAAATCATGCCTCACCAATCTGTTAGAGTTCTCTGAGGGTGTCAAGAAACATGTGGACAAGGGTGATATAGTGGATATAATGTACTTGTGTGACAGACTGTACCCCTGTGTTGACCACTTTTACAAGACTATGATAAAGTATGTACAAAGTATGTCTTGTGAGGTATTGTTTGAAAATTCATAGTTTGCTGATGATTATTGTCCTGGTAAAATATGTGTGGCAACCTTGTTTGTAAAGTTATAAGATTCTATTGTATGATATTATTAAGGCATATTCCAAATCTGGGGAAGCAGCACAAATCAGTTCCTCAGAGACAAAAAGGCAAACTGATGACTCAGCCAAGTGTCAACAAAATCAAATGGACTATCACTTGATTAAGTGGCCATTCTTTGGCAGAAAGAAGGGTGTGAGTGAATAATTTACATCTTGGCAAAGAAACAGACTGGCTGTAACCTGAACCCCAGGTGGAGAGGATCCTCAAAGAGGAGGAAAAGTAATTTAAAAAATGAGGAATCGATGTCTTGGGACCAATCTTATTTAACATTTTTATTATTGACCTTCTCATAAAAAGTGAGTGTGTGCTAATAAAATTTGCGGATGACACAAAGAAGGGAGGTATAACCAATACAGAGGAGGACTGGAATATCATACAAGAAGATCTGGATGACATTGTAAACTGGAGTAATAGAAATGGGATGAAATGTAATAGTGCAAAGTTCAAGGTCATGCATTTTGGGACTAACAACAAGCTATAAGCTGGGGACTTGTCAGTTGGAAGCGATAGAGGAGGAGAAAGACCTGGATGTATTGTCACAGAATGACTATGAGCCATCAATGTGATGTGGCCATGAAAAGGGCTAATGAAGTCCTAGGATGCATCAGACAAGGTATTCCCAGTAGAGACAAGGAAGTGTTAGTACCATTATACAAGGTACTAACAGCTGTTCACTAGTCCAGATTGTACCCTGGGTAATGTTGCAACTTGGACTTTGAGTAAACATTTGACAAGGCCCCTCACCAAAGGCTCTTAAGCAAAGTAAGCAGTCATGAGATAATAAGCAGTCTTGGGAGGTCATCTCATGGATCAGTAATTGGTTAAAAGATAGGAAACAAAGGATACGACTAAATGGTCAGTTTTCTTACTGGAGAGAGGTAAATAGCAGGGTCCCCCAAAAATCTGTACTGGGACCAGTGCTATTCAGCATATTCATAAATGATTTGGAAAAAGGCATGAACAGTAAAGAGGCAACTCCCGTTCCCCCCCCCCAGCCCACCCCCGCTCATCCCCCAGTTCTTTTTTCAAATTGGGAAATTAATCAAAATCAACTTTTTCCCACGAACAGTTTCCATTTTTATGAGTCAGTACTTTCCAATGAAAAAATGTTTTGTTCAGTTTTTTTATACTATATAATTACTAATTATTTTACAATTACATACCTCAGTTATCTAATGATTTTAAAAGTTAATGTATTAGAGAGTATTTTGTTAACTTGTTTCCTGTTTAGATATAGAAGTCCAGACTTTTGTTGAAAATGTCATGTTATTTCATTCAATTTGGATGAAAAATAACTTCCTAACTCCCATGCCAGCTAATCCATTTTCTCTGCTACCCAGCTGCACAGAAATGGAAAGACATCCTTTGCAATGTTTTGGTTTAATTGTGAAGTCTCTCTACCTTATCGCATACTGTTGCTGTACAACTATGTTATTAATAACCATAAATATATAAAGACCAATAAGAACTTGCAGGTTCCTGAAAATAAATCAAGAACAGCCACTGATGATGATGTACAAATGTGCTCAGGGCAGATATGCAATTCTGGTACTTATGCCCCTTCCTAATTGATTAAACTGACTGGTTAGCACCGTGATGTTATTTTTGGATGCAAGGTGGTTTGGTAAGGCCCCTGGTTTGGTAAAACTGTTGGTATTTTGGAGGGTTTTAAGACTGTTTGTCCTGCTTACCTCTTGTTTTTTGATCTTTGAAGTTTTCTAAATGATCTGCTTAAAATTATATGTATTAGGTTTACCAGAACCAAACAAAGATGGTATATTCCAAGGACTGAGAATGGACCAAGGTTTCTACACATCTAAAGATTTTCTACCACTGGTAGCAATGGCAAGTAAACCAGGTGTGTGTATATAAAATATATCGTTTAAAACATGTTCAGTAGAGGGTTAGCAATTATATTAGTACTTAGTGGAGTTCCACAGTACACAGAAACTTGTACAGTGGAACATCCAATAAAGGCGCATGTGTAGATGCAGAAGTATGTATGGTTTAGATCGTTGTGTCACAGCCCTCTTAGGGATGATAAAAGACAATCAGGGAGGCTGCGACGCAACGATCTAAAGCATAAGTCATTCTGTGATTTGAAAATTTGGTTACAATTCTACAACAAAGAAAATGAAATAAATTTAGAGAGCAAGAGAGAGAGAGAGATTATAAATTGCTATACATAATTATATACTAAATTATAAATATTAACATCAAATTATATTTGGATAAATTACATAGGCTTATCATGATTATCACTGATACATTTTATGCACTTTTCTAGTAAATGTAAGGTGGTCATGAAAACTTTTGAGGTTAAAAAAGGGGTTGCCAGCTTGAAAACTTGAGAAACAGTAGTCTATATAGGTTATGGGTTGTATTATGCCTTTTTAAACATTAAAAATTGTCCTCTTAAAAAATAAAATCACACACTGTCTGACTGGGCATTACAGTATATGACCATGTGTTAGTCAAATGATTATTTCTATATTCAGTTATCCAAGCTTATATACAGTACAATCTGTATACAATAGTTATGCCATTATCACCTACAGAACGGATCAGTTCAATGTGCTCTCCATGGAACCGCACCTGAAGACCATTCAGAAAGTTCACAGTGTGTTGAATGTGGCTGCCTGTTTACTTAACAAATTGATAAATTAAACAATAATAAATCTCCAGGACCTGATGGTATTTCACCCAAGAGTTTTGAAGGAACTCAAAGCTGAAATTGAAGGACTACTAATTGTCACCTATCATTTAAATCAGCTTCTGTACCAAATGACTGAAGGATAGCTAATGTGACAGCAATTTTTAAAAAGGGCTCCAGAGGTGACCCTGGCAACTACAGGCCAGTAAGCCTCACTTCAGTACTGGGCAGATTGATTGAAACTATCATAAAGAACAAAATTGTCAGACACATAGATGAACATAATTTGTTGGGAAATAGTCAACATGGTGTTGTAAAGGGAAATCATGCCTCACCACTCTACTAGAATTCTTTGAGGGGATCAACAAGCATGCGGACAAAGGAGATCCAGTGGATATAGTGTATTTAGATTTTCAGAAAGCCTTTGGCAAGGTCCCTCACCAAAAGCTCTTAAGCAAAATAGGCAGTCATGGGATAAGAGGGAAGGTTCTCTTATGGATTGGTAACTGGTTAAAAGTTAGGAAACAAAGGGTAGGAATAAATGGTTAGTTTTCAGAATGGAGAGATGTAAATAGTGGTTCTCCCAGGGATCTGTACTGGGCCCAGTCCTATTTAACATATTCATAAACGATCTGGAAAAAGGGATAAACACTGAGGTTGCAAAATTTGCAGCTGATACAAAACTACTCAAGATAGCTAAGTCCCAGGCAGACTGCGAAGAGCTACAAAAGAATCTCACAAAACTGGGTGCCTGGGCAACAAAATGGCGAAGAAATGTAATGTTGATAAATGCAAAGTAATGCACATTGGAAAACATAATCGTAACTATACATATAAAATGATGGGGTCTAAATTAGCTGTTACCACTCAAGAAAGAGATCTTGGAGTCATTGTGGATAGTTCTCTGAAATCATCCACTCAATGTGCAGCTGCACATTTTTTTGCAAAAAAGCAAACAGAATGTTGGGACTCATCAAGAAAGGGATAGATAATAAGACAGAAAATATCATATTGCCTGTATATAAATCCATGGTTCGCCCACACCTTGAATACTGCATGCAGATGTGGTCACCCCATCTCAAAAAAGATTAGAATTGGAAAAGGTTCAGAAAAGAGCAACAAAAATGAGTAGGGGTATAGAACGGCTTCCATATGAGGAGAGATTAATAAGACTGAGACTTTTCAGCTTGGAAAAGAGGTGACCAAGGAGGAATATGATAGAGGTCTATAAAATCATGTGGTGTATAGAGAAAGTAAATCAGGAAGTGTTAGTTATTCCTCCTCATAATACAAGAACAAGGGGCCACCAAATGAAATTAATTGGTAGCAGGTTTAAAACAAACACAAAAAAGTATTTTTTTCACACAACGCACTGTCAACCTCTGGAACTCCTTGCCAGAGGGGTTGTGAAGGCCAATACTATAATGGGGTTCAAAAGGGAGCTAGATAAATTCGTGGAAGATAGGTCCATCAGTGGTTATTAGCCAGGATGGGCAGGAATGGTGTCCCTAACCTCTGTTTGCCAGAAACTGGGATTGGGTGACAGGGCATGGATCACTTTATGATAACCTGTCTGTTCATTCCCTTCGGGGCACCTGCCATTGGCCACTGTCAGAGGACAGGATACTGGGCTAGATGGACCTTTGGTCTGACCCAGTATGGCTGTTCTTATGTTCTTAACACAGTTTCCCACAAACAACAGCTTGCACAAATGGTCTGTTGCAGGAACTTTATTTTCTGCTTATAAAAGTGAAATTTTATGTTAACCCTTTTTAGTACAAAGTGGAAGTGTTGCAGAAAGAAAGATTTATCCCTTCTCTATTCCATCCCTCATCTTCTATGTTAAATAGGTTACTTTTGTCCATTTTCGTATGCTGAAAATAAATGTAGAAACAAAAATGGGGAGGGGGGAGGAAGGAAATCATTGAGAAAGACTTGGTTAAAATAGATGTGATGAAGAACTATAAAGCTATAAAACATTTGTTGATTTAATAAAAATAAAACCATATAAAATAAAAACCACTACCTTGAAACAGTTATAAAATACTGAGATTTATATTCTAAAATACAATACAGAACTCAGTGGGATGACATGTATACTTAGTTACTCACATACATACGTGTTTGCAAGATCGGGATGCATGTTCATTAAAAATGCCATCTCTCACTGAGGGAGCATATTGTATTTGCTAGAAGATAAAATGAATTTTATTTAATTTATTCTAAAAAGACTAAGTATAAATTTTGAGGAAACAGACCAATTTCTTAAATCACTATAAAATAATTTCATCAATACTCTGTAGGTATTTGGAATCCTACATTAATAAATTTATCTATTTTACATACATTGCTTTTTCTGGTGCCTGTCCAAGGCTCTAAGCACTTCATGCTATTTAAAACACAGAATTTGAAAATAATATTTAGTCACCTAACACAATATTTTTCTTCTTATTTCCAAGATGACAATTCTCCAGAGATTAGACTCCCCCACGATATATATATTTTCTCCCTATTTGCAACACTCCACCTAAACTCTTTCAATTTTCAGCTCCATTGCTTATGAATTTATATTCCCTCAAATTGGTTCCAAGAAATAGGCCTCCACATTAAAATAAATGTGTGTGAAATACAAATATCTATACATGCCCCCCATTTAAGCCTCCAATCCTGCAAAGATTTATACATGTGAGTATCCCCATTAACTTTTAGGCCCCAATCCTACAAGTCATTATGTATGGGCAGATCTCTGCACCCATGTGGAGTCATTTGCCGGATTGGGACCTTATCTGGGAGAGAAACCAAGATCTGAATGGTATTGTGACTAGACTTCTTGTTCATCTGAAGTGGTATTTCTAGGCATGTTGGAATGTTGTCATAGGCATGCCTTGCACTGTCATCTCCCATATTGTGCTTGTTCTTTGATAAAATAAAGGAGTTCATTTTCCATTGCTGTCAATCTACCACCTTTCATTGGATTGAATTCATTTTGGAGATAAATTATTCTAGACAGAAATATATATAGTAAAGTAATCAAAGCCCCATGCCATAGGCACATGGAAAAATGACCGAGTCTTGCAGTCTATGGAACCTTTTCCAAGTGGAGAGGGTTTTGGGGATCAGGATATCTTTGTTCTTCTGTTGTGAATTTAAATTTAAAGTATTATTTTCTTGAAAGAAATTGATATTTGTGCTTCTGAATCCTTGCTGTGAAAATTCACAACTGTTATAGCACAAAGTTAAGACTTACAGAGCACTGATTATATGGTCAACACAAACTCTTCTGAATGAAACTATCACCAACTCATTGAGATTATAGCTTTATATTATTTATGCTATAATTTTTTAAATTACTGTAATTTGTCTAATCATCAGTTAGTTACATTTAAATTGATGCTGAAGTGCAATCCAATATATGGAGTACATGCATTTTGGTTTTACTTAAGAATCTCTTATAAGCGAATTATCAAATAGAGCGCCCTGGATAATGAACACTTAGAAAGTCCTAATTCTCTCTGTTTCTTTTTGCAAATAAAGTCTGTAGAAAACCAATATAGATTAAGCACTTAGTTCAGAACAAGGTCCCCTAGAAATTATTGTAAGAATAATAATCTTACTGCATCATGTTCAGCTGCCATAGGGAATGGTTTATGAGAACCATGCCATAATCATGATATATTCAGAGTCTTTTATAAAAGTTACTTAATTTATATGGCTGAGACCAATATTATTAAATTATCAGATGGGGCAATAAACAAATCAAAAGCTGTTAGAAAAATACAGAGTGCCACTCTTTATAAACTATAAAAATGGTTTTTACTTAGGAGAATAATGAATCTGATGAAAGTAGTCAAAATTTAATTTTTGAATGATGATCTCAAATTGATTGAATACAGTATGACAGAGCCTACATTCTTAAAAATGTATTGTAGTTTATAACCCTCCATGATGGGCAGGCACTGCTGCTAAGGGTACTGGCTATGAAATTACGTATATGAGCATATCTTAAAAGTGGGAATAAAACTGTCTTTCAATGAAGCAGAATAATTTGATAGTGACACTCCATGCTTGGAAACTGCAAGATGCAATTTTACACTGCTTTGAGTACAAGTATCTTTTGAGTTGTCATGCAGAAATGGTTCTCTACTTGAAAATGGGGTTTTCTTTTCATCATTCAGGAATGTGTGCCTGTCACTCTCCATTGCCATTGATACAGGGAACTGTAATTGTACTTGGAGCAGGAGACACTGCTTTTGATTGTGCAACATCTGCTTTACGCTGTGGAGCTCGCCGTGTATTTGTGGTCTTCAGAAAGGGATTCACTAATATCAGGGCTGTCCCTGAGGAGGTAAAACTGAACAATCAGAATGTTTTTGTAGTAGTAACATGACTGATTTTATGAGATGGAACACTGATTATCATTGTTATTTATACAGGCCCAACTTGTGCAAAGCACTTAAAACACTGTTACATAAGGTTTAATTCATCAAAATGAAATTGAAATTTGTAAATGTTTATTCAAAGTCTGAGGCTCATTTTATGTTGTGCCTGTGTCAAATTATACCCTCAGTTATGCTTGTGCAAGTCTCCGTGAAGTCAATAAAAGTTGCGCTTGCGTATCTGAGGGCAAATTTTGGTCCTTTGTTTATAAACTCTAAAATATTTAGAAATGTTTAAACACACATATGCACCCTAGATATCAAATGATGAGGCATACCTGAATCATTATGGGCCATTCTAGTATTACTGGTGACTTTTCAGGAATCTGATTTCCCAAAAAAGGTGCAATTCTGGGACATACTTAATGTATCACAGTGATCCAATCAAAGGAAGGTATAAAGACATGTAAAAAGGTTAGTTAAAATTCTTTGTGTTTTTTATTCCTATCAAAGGCTGGGGAGTGATGGCATTGAGCATATATTTCTATGCTTAACTTGATTTTGATAAACATTTTTTATTATGAAATCTTTTTTATTTGTCTTTAATTATTAGATTTTGGTGGTCTTATTTGGTTATAATTTATGTGGCGCATACTTTGGATTGCTGCATAATTTATACTAATGAGACATGTAATGTACCTCAGTCATGGAATTTATGTGAAAATGGTCCTGTCTTTTCAAGAGAAAGTGTACATCTTTGGAGACCTAATAGTTACACAAATGGGATGATGGTACACAATAAGCAATGTAATTTTTCAATGTGCATAATTTACTTCTATTTTCCTTGCCATAAAGCAAACACTCAAATTGGGGTGGGGCATTCTTAAAAAAAAAGAAAGCTTATTGAGATAAAATGTAATTAACTGATCTGTTTTTCAATTCATCAGTATTCAGACTCCCATGATCTCTTTGTGAGTGTATGTGCAAATCTTTGTATTTTCTTAAAGTTGTCATTCATAAAGTCTGTAATTATACCTATTAACTAAATCATATTACAGATTAGAAATTAATAAAGTAAAAATTGCCCCTAATCAAGCATAGCCATTATTGACGTTTCAAACACTGCCAGATGCTGAAATGCTGTAGAATATCATAGGTATGGAAGAGGTTATTTGTCATACAATCATGTAGGGCCAAATCCTGGCTGGAGAATTTCAAATATAGTACCTATATTTAAGAAGGGGGTGGGGGGAGAGGAAGTCATACGGGAAACTACAGGCTCATTAATTGACCTCAATTGTATGCAAGTACTTAGAACAAATTTTGAAAGAGAGAGTAATTAAAGACAAAGGTAAATGGTAATTGGTATAACATACAACAAGGTTTTACAAAAGGTAGATTGTGCCAGACCAACCTAATCAATTTTCTAGACATAGCAAATGCAGTAGTTCTAAACTACCTGGATTTCAGGAAAGCATTTGCTACAGTTCCACATGGGAAATTATTAGTTAAATTAGAGAAGTTGGTGATTAATATGAGAATCCAAAGATGATGGGTAAGGAACTGGTTAAAGGGGAGACTACTGCTGGTAAACCTGAAAAGACTGGAGGGAGGTTCCAGCAGAGTTCCGTAGGGATCAGTCTTGGGACCAATCTTATTTAATATTTTTGTTTATGATCTTGGCACAAAAAGTGGGAATGTGCTAATACAATTCGCTGATGACACAAAGCACTGGAATAGCATACAAGAAGATTTGGATGACCTTGAAAACTGGAATAATAGAAAGGGGATGAAGTTTAATTGTGCGAAGTGCAGCATCATACACTTAGCAAAAATTCCTGTGGATGATATCTATAAGCTGGGGACTTATCGTGTGGAAGTGATAGAGGAGGAGAAAGACCTGGGTATGTTGGTGGATCACAGGATGACTGTAAGATGCCAATGTGATGCAGCCATAAAAAAGGCTAATACAATCCAAGGATGCATCTATCAAGGTATTTTCAGTAGAGATAGAGAAGTGTTATTACCATTGTACAAGGCACTGGTGAGACCTCATCTGGATTACTGTGTGCAGTTCTGGTCTCCCATGTTTAAGAAAGATTCATTCAAACTGGAACAGGTACAGAAAAGGGATACTAGGATGATCAGAGGAATGGAAAAACTACCTAATGGAGATTTATGGAGCTTGGCTTGTTTAGCCTTACAAAAGGAAGGCTGAGGGGAGATAAAATTGCTGTCCATTAATACATCAGAGGGATAAATACCAGGGAGGGAAATGAATTACCTAAGGGTCAGTGTTGGCACAAGAACAAATGGATATAAACTGGTCATCAAAAAGCTTAGGCTTGAAATTAGAGAAAGGTATCTAACCATCAGAGGAGTATAGTTTTGGAACAGTCTTTCAAGGGGAGTAGTGGGGACACACAATCTAACTTGTTTCAAGACTGAGATTGATAAATTTAGGAGGGGCATGGTATTATGAGATTGTCTATAAAGGCATATGGCCCATCTGCAACTGCTATTAGCAAATATCTTCAGCAGCCAGATAGATGGGGCACTAGATAGGGAGGGCTCTGAGTTACTATAGAGAATTCTTTGCCAGGATCTGGTTGATGGGTCTTGCCCACATGCTCAGGGTCTAACTGCTTGTCATATTTGTGGTTGGGAAGGAATCTTTCCCCAAGTCAAATTGGCAAAGGTCCTGTTTTGGGGTTTTTTTTCACCCTTTCTCTGCAGTATAGTGGGGCGTAGGTCATTTCTGGCTTGAGCTAGAGTAAATGGTGGATTCTCTGTAACTTGAAATCTTTAAATCAAGATTTGAGGACTTCAGTAATTCAGACAGAGGATGAGCATATTGCAGGAGTGGGTAGGTGAGGTTCTGAGGCCTGCAATGTGCAGGAAGTCGTATCAGGATGGTCCCTTCTGGTCTTAAAGTATATGGATCTATGAGTCTTCATTCCTGTGGTATTTTAAAACAACAAATTATTTTTAAAAAATTTTAGGGAGGAGAAACTAAAGAAGTTGGAAGAGATCTTATTTTTCATGCCTTTTACTGTTTAAAATAGGTGTTTACTATTTTAAACAGTATAAAGGTGGTATAAAAAGTAGGTTTTCCCACATTTTCTTACTCTTTCTCAACTTTTCCTACTTTCAGAAGGAAAACAATGTTTCAGCATCTGACATTACTTGGTTGTGCACTTTGAGACACTTTGAAGGGGCCAGATTTTTAGAAAGTGTTGAGCACCTTCTGATAATAATCCAACAACTTTTGGAAAAAGTAAGAAAGTGGGGAAAATTTCAGAATGATTTTTCTTTAACCAAAATCTTTTGTTTATAAGAAATGGAGGTGTTTTCCCATAACTCTTTGTTTCAAAAATATGTTGGAACATTGACAAATTTTGTCAAATTATTTTTTCAGAGGAAAATTTAGTTTATTTTTGATAAAACCCTGCTCCCGCCCCCAATTTACTACCACTTCTACCTAGCATTCAGTGCAGGCCTACCCTCCATCTAGGCTGCAGTCAGTACTGAGTCTGTGCTCACCTAGACCTGTCCTTAAAGACCAACATACCTTTTTACATAGGGTAAGTCCACTGACATCAAAGTGACCACGCCAGTCTAAATCCAGAGTAACAGAGGAGAAAATATGAAAAATTAATACTCTTCTCCATAAGTGGATATGCTGATCCACTCAATATCATTGGAGACTTTGGAGTAAGTAGACTGTAGCCCTACACAGCAATATTTTTTGCTAGATATGGAATATATGCAAACTTCATGAATCAAAATTTTTTTATGAAGACATCATAATCTTTGTATGACTTTCCTTTTTCTACAGATGGAACTTGCAAAAGAAGAAAAGTGTGAATTTCTGCCTTTCCTCTCACCTCGGAAGGTTGTAGTGAAAGGTGGACGAATTGTTGCTATGGAATTTGTTCGAACTGAGCAAGCTGAAACTGGACACTGGATTGAAGATGAGGATCAGATTGTCCGTTTGAAGACAGATGTGGTGATCAGTGCCTTTGGTTCAGTTTTAGGTGACCCTAAAGGTAATGCTCAGCTGTAATATGCTATATTAAAGCCTGTTATTATTTTAATATTATTACTATTTACAGTTTGGGAACTTTGGCTTTCTTCTCCTAAATTTTGTCCTCAATTACAACTGGATAAACGGGTTGTGGGAGGGTGGAATTGGGTTCTTAAGTCTAAATGTTCAAAACTGAGAAGTAATTTGGGCTGGATGCCCCTGCCTTTGATTGTGCAACTTGCAACATTTTAAAGAGACTCAGTTTTTAGGAAGTGTTGAGCACTTGCCTTGTGATCTGCCCCTTTTTATGATATCTCAAGTTGAATACTCAAAATAACTAATCACTTGAAGGCACCTTTGTGTATAAATTATGGAGTGGTGTGTTAGAATGTGTGAGAATATTACTGTGCAACTTAGTCCCTAAATTATAACAGAATAAAAGAGATTGATCCAAAATCCAATCTTTGGTATTTCTAAGGCACCACTCAGTGTGGTATCTAACCATGAGATATTTGCAGATCATCAACCTTTCCAAATGCAGTTAATTTTGGAAGAGTGATCCTTTAGTGAATGACATTATAGCATTCCATTTTAAGGCTTAATCTTAAATGGTTCTTAGCCATTGCAACTCCATCTTTCCTTCCCCCCCCCCAACATTTTACAGATTTAGGTACTTATTCCATATAAGTAACGTCCTTGTCAAATTAATTCAGTCTGCAAGAGAATATTTAAAGTACACTAGGTGCCATAATTGCAAATTCAAGGGGTTGTCTGAAAATCAAGCTGCGTTCGGACTGCTTCATATATCACTGAAAAAGAAGGAATGTGGAAGCAGAACGTAAATGGGCAATTCTGTTCTTAATGCAAGAATAAATTAATACAGCTTGCCTATCCACAGCTGTATAGGCTCTATAGTCTTCATCTTGACATTAGCAAACTAAGCACATATAACTCTAAAGATGGGTCTGACCCAAAACTCAAGATCCAAACACCCCTCACAAATGAGATGTAGATGCAAACGTTGCAGTGCATACCCATCTATAATTGGAAGACATTTGCAGTAGTATGGTGCCATTTTCTCTTTTTCTGACCGTAATCATAAGAAGAACTAGGGGCTGCTGTGATGGGATGGATGGGTGGATGCCCTCTGTATTGCTCAGGACTGGGCAGGGATCCAGGCTGTCTCACACATGCACTCCTCATGGACTGGAGGCTGAAAAATCAGGAGCTAAAAACTAATGGAGAAGCTTGGCTTCTCTTTGAACAGATTGGATTCTAAGCTCCTTAAAAGCCTCGTACATCAAAGGCATATTAAATAACAAAACCAGCTGACTGAGTGGAAGAGAGATGGACCACATTGATTGAGCCTGAACTGGGAGGTATTCATAAAGGTGATTGAGATGTTGGGAGTCCCAGAGATGGACCAGTACACCTCCTCCATGTATAGTAATAACAGGAAATTACTCCATGACATGTCATCCTGAAATTTTGGGCATGGATACTCTGATTCAGAAATGGACCAGATTCATACTATGTACTCCTTCCCATTTGCTATTTTAAAGTGCTTCAGAGGATAAGGCCACAAAATTTTTTTGGAAATCCTAGTAGCATTACACTGGCCACCAACACTTTGGTTCTCTTAGTGCAAAATACAGTTCAAAACCTCATAACAGGGCAAAGACTTCTGTACCTTCTTAATTACAGACAAGTAGTAAATCCAAAACCATCCAAGTCTAGCAATATATGTGGTTGTCTTGCAGCTTCATACAAGGACATTTTTACCTCTGCTTTTTCTGTAAATATTCTATATGGACATTCTTTGGAAGAGAAATAAAGACATGCTTTTGAGTTTTCTGGAACAATTGATGGAATAAGAAGATTTTACTGACCTTCACAAGGAAGACAAAACATTAAGTAATGGAGAACATTACTTATATATGAATATATGAACATTTTAAGAATTCCAGAATGTTGCTGGCAGATGTCAATACAGCTGTCTGTAACACAAATCAGATATCCAGTCCTTCCCATTCAATCAGAGTGAAACTAAGGAACAATGTTTACAATTTTTAATCCAGCATGTTATCACAGGGAGATTTTAGATTCTCTACTACAATAAAAGCAAGGGGGCAAAGCCATTCCTTTGGTATCTGTAAATTTAATTTACAGGTATTCGCTTATTGGGTAGTAACAAATGATTTTTGATAATTTAATTCAAGCTGTGCTGTTCTCTACAAGGAAATTGCATCCATAGTACTCACAGTGATACTCATTCTGTGCAACCTCCTGTTGTGCAGTTATCTAATGGAGTAAATAAGAAGCAGGTGGGACTCTGACGACTCTTTGTGAGTGGGGACAATCCTTCCACTTGGTGATATGTTGTCATATAAAGAATTTAATATCTGTGTTGCTTATGGTCTAGTGATCAATCTCACCAAGGAAGTACAAAGGAAAGCTAGGGTTTGAATTTTTAATGGAGTCATGAGCCAGTGTCTTCATGGAGTTAACTTTAATTAGAGAATATTTTCAAAAAGCCATTTCAAATCCCTCATCAATTCTTGCTATTTAGAAGGTTTTTGGGAAGGTTTTCTCAAACCTCTTGGGTTAATAAAACATATTGCCTGTATCAGTGGCAAATTGTGTTGGTTCTTGGGTTCCAGGCTAAAAGGTTGCTCTACCTTGTGTATAGGTATTCCCACACTCAATCTTGCTTCAGCTTTAACTTGATGGGCTGGTGGAGCCTAATGTGACAGTTGACTGAGGTTTTGAACAAGGAACATCCAAAACTAAAAAAGAAGCTGCTACAGCTTGAACCAAAACTCTGTACCTGAGGGGTATAACAAATCATATCTTTTGTGGATTTGCACAGAGGGGGACCAATAACACATGCTTACCAGTGAAATAAACTACCACTAACTATAACCCTTTCTAAAGATGGGGAACCTAATGCCCATTTGCCTGTTAAATTATCCATTTATGAGTTCTGTGTAGCAACATGCTGTAGTCTGAGAGGAACAAAGTCATAATTCAGGCAGATCATGGAATGAGTCCTTTTCCTTGGGATGGGCAACATACCTCACTTTCACATGTTGTGTCTGTGGATACTGCTACTGGTATAGCAAGCTGAGTGCAGAAATTTCTCTCACATACTGGAAAAGTTAAAAATAAATAAAAAAAACTGTGAAAATAAATTACTATTTTTGTGGCTATGTCATCTTCAGTTCTTTACACCTCTTCATTAACCAGCAGTCTTGAAGCAAATCAAATAAACTCGTAACATAAGAACGTCCATTCTGGGTCAGACCAAAGGTCCATCAAGTACATTATCCTGTCCTCTGACAGTGGCCAATGGCAGGTGCCCCAAAGGGAATGAACAGACAGGTTATTATCAAGTGATTCATGCCCTGTCACCCAATCCCAGCTTCTGGCAAACAAAGGCTAGGGACTCCATTCCTGCCCATCCTGGCTAATAGCCATTGATGGACCTATCTTCCATGAATCTATCTAGCTCCCTTTTGAACCCCGTTATGGTATTGGCCTTCACAAAACCCTCTGGCAATGAGTTCCAGAGGTTGACAGTGTGTTGCGTGAAAAAATACTTTCTTGTGTTTGTTTTAAACCTGCTACCTATTAATTTCATTTGGTGACCCCTTCTTCTTGTATTATGAGAAGGGATATTATTTACTTTCTCTATACCACTTATGATTTTATAGACCTCTGTCATATCCCCCTTAGTCACCTCTTTTCCAAGCTGAAAAGTCCCAGTCTTATTAATCTCTCCTCATAAGGAAGCCGTTCTATACCCCTAATCATTCTGGTTGCTCTTTTCTGAACCTTTTCCAATTCCAATATATCTTTTTTGAGATGGGGCAACCACATCTGCATGCAGATGTGGGCTTACATTGGATGAATATAGAGGCAATATGATATTTTCTGTCTTATTATCTATCCCTTTCTTGATGATCCCAACATTCTGTTCGTTTTTTTGACTGCCGCTGCACATTGAATGGATGATTTCAGAGATTATCCACAATGACTCCAAGGTCTCTTTCTTGAGTGCTAACAGCTAATTTAGACCCAATCATTGTATATGTATAGTTAGGATTATGTTTTCTAGTGTGCATTACTTTGCATTTATCAACATTAAATTTCATCTGCCATTTTGTTGCCCTGTCACCCAGTTTTGTGAGATCGTTTTGTAGCTCTTCGCAGTCTGCCTGGGACTTAACTATCTTAAGTAGTTTTGTATCAGCTGCAAATTTTGCCACCTCAGTGTTTACCCCTTTTTCCAGATCGTTTATGAATATGTTAAATAGGACTGGGCCCAGTACAGATCCCTGGGGGAACCACTATTTACATCTCTCCATTCTGAAAACTGACCATTTATTCCTACCCTTTGTTTCCTAACTTTTAACCAGTTAACAATCCATGAGAGAATCTTCCCTTTTATCCCATGACTGCTTATTTTGCTTACGAGCCTTTGGTGAGGGACCTTGCCAAAGGCTTTTTGAAAATCTAAATACACTATATCCACTGGATCTCCTTTGTCCACATGCTTGTTGATTCCCTCAAAGAATTCTAGTAGATTGGTGAGGCATGATTTCCCTTTACAAAAACCATATTGACTATTTCCCAACAAATTATGTTCAACCAATTTGCCCGATACTGAAGTGAGGCTTCCTGGGCTGTAGTTGCCAGGGTCACCTCTGGAGACCTTTTTAAAAATTGGCATCACGTTAGCTATCCTCCAGTTATTTGGTACAGAAGCTGATTTAAATGATAGGTTACAGATGACAGTTAATAGTCCTGCAATTTCACCTTTGAGTTCCTTTGGAACTCTTGGGTGAATACCATAGGTCCTGGAGACTTATTACTGTTTAGTTTATCAATTTGTTCCAAAACCTCCTCTAATGACACCTCAATTTGGGGCAGTTCCTCAGATCTTTCACCCAAAAATAATGGCTCAGGTTTGGGAATCTCCCTTACATCCTCAACAGTGAAGACTGATGCAAAGAATTCCTTTAGTTTCTCCACAATGGCCTTATCATCTTTGA